TGCCGCAGTGTGGGATCTGGAGACTGAACTAGGGCCTCTGCAAGAGCAGGCAGTACTCTTAACTGCTGAGCTGCCTCTCCAGCCCCAAATTATTGTTCTTTTGTTGTTGTCTTATTTTGAGACAAGGTTTCATGGAACCCAGGCTCACACTGAACTCAGTGTGGCTGTGGATGGCCATGGACTTCTGATCTTCCAGCCTTCACTTACCTAGTGCTGGAATTCACGTTTGTGCCACCCCACACCATTTATGTGGTGCTGGGGCTTGAACACAGGGCCCCCTGAAGCACCATAAGTGTACACCATACAAATCGAACCCACACATTTTACAACTATATTACCTTATGCACACTTCCTAAGTCATACATTTCAAAGCTCCATCTCAGGCAGGACTTTAGCCCACAGTATCATCTGACCATGACTCGTTCTTACATGGATAAATAAATACTTGAGGCCAGTGTTTGGATATGGAGGGTGGTAATGGGGTCCCAGAAATTGTCTTCACCAGTTGTTCCAGAGGCAACTCTGATAAAGAGTTAATGCTGGAAACCATGGAGTCAAAGCAGTGGCTCATGTTGATGCTAGCTGAGCTCCTCATAGGACATGTTCCATGTCTGGAGACACTGTTGTTTGGTACTATGGATGAGAATTCCTGAAGCGAATATGGCTGCAGGGGCTGACTGACTAAAACTTCCATGACTGTGGAGTGTTTTCAAAGTTACAGATCCAGAGTCTAATCAGAACTTATTATGGGTAATCTTTAACTTACTAAATAATCAATTTTTACCCTCTTGGTCCCTCCAACCATCACATCTAACATCCTATTACAGTCCAGACCTTTTGGAATGTATTCACAGAACTCTACCTTTCTACCAACTAAACAGCATCTAAGGCCTAAAATAAAGTTCTTTCCATTTTATTGTAACCCACCTCCTCTGATGTTCCCACCAATGCATTTTAAAAGAACTTTGTGGAACTGATTTTTATGTTGAAAAATTAGAACTTGGAGTAACCTAAATCCATGTTCCCAGACCATGGTCACTAAAATCTGGCTCCACAATAAACTCTGTCTTATGCCCTTTGAGTTGACATGTGTTTTTGTGTCAACTGTACCATGGTGGTAGACAGGTGTGGGGGAAACTGCTGGCACCTAGTGTGTACATGGAGGCCAGAGAGGGTGTTCAACAAGACCAATACAAGGCTCTCATAACAAAGCCTTGCTCTACTCCAAATGTCTATAATAGCAGCTCCAGGGAAGTCCTGGTTAAAGAGTGACATTTGTCACATGCATGATTTTTAAAAGTATAGGTGACATATGGCTATATATTAGGATACTACAAGATTACAAGTTTCCAATTGTTGGGACTAACTAATTTAAGAGAGACAGAACAAAATACCTCAACTACCTGAGAAGCCCACCTAATGACTAATTCTCTTTGAGTTTGTGAACTAACACAGTGCAGTGACATTGAGACATAGCATGCTGGAAGCATTGATTGAACATTTTGGAAATTTAAAAAAGGTTATTCAGGCACTTAAAAACAGTCCTTAGTATAATTTATATAATTAGTTATTAAAGTTTAATTCACATGAATTTATAATTATTCAAATTTCAGGGTCTGTAAAGTAGATTATTATTTTTTTTTAAAGTGCAAGCTGGAGGATCAGATTTGTGAAAGTTTATTCATTCGGGACACCCATAGCATGACTTACTTGCAATAATCTAAATTTCACTTTAACTTACTGAATTTCCAAAATCAGCAACTTTCAAATGCTGGTTCTAAGCCACAGTGAGCATCGCTTTAGATGTTGGGTCAATGCTGGAGTTCTACCACAACAGAGCTCAGAATGTAAGTGTGAAACAGCGTGATAGCTTCCCAGGCTAGCCGTCCTTTAATCCCCGGAGCACCTGGAATCACTAGGAATCTGGATCTATGCAAACACCACCAACCTTGCTATCGATCTCACTGCTTCCCAGCGCAGACTGAATCACATACAGCAGGGCATCCGTGAGCCCATCACACTCCCGCATCCTTCGGCGGGCCTCCTCTCCAGCTGAACTTACATTCCTGCAAAGCAAAGGGACACCTCAGTGACCGTCAGATGGCTGCCAAGAGACCACCCTATCAGAAGGAAGCTCTTTTCCTTGTTTACAATATTGAATGGGTGTTAGTATTCAGACATCTATACCGGACTGTCCTTGGAGTTCTGACAGGATACACCCTCAGCTGCAGCCACTAAGAACACCACCTGTGCACATTCACTATGTTCCCTTTTAAAAGGGCCCTGCCCACCTCCCATATTCTCTCTCTCTCTCTCTCTCTCTCTCTCTCTCTCTCTCTTTCCCTTCCCCCTCTCTCCCCCTCTCTCTCTCTCTCTCTCTCTGCTTCTCTGCTTCTCTCTCTCTCTCTCTCTCTCTCTCTCTCTCTCTCTCTCAAACAGGGTCTTGCTGTATGGCTTAGGTTGGATTAGAACTCACGATCATCTTGCTTCCCAGAGGCCAGTTTCCCTTCTCTCCTCCCCACTTTTCCCATTCACTTTCCCCTAATAAAAAAAAAGAAAACCAAAAATCCCTCCACCCAAGTTCTGTCTCATGGTGTATTTCTCTCCTGCGCTGCTTTTTAAATCACAACAACAAAAGTGTAGCTTTGGCAAGTAGACATGGTTTCAACAAACACATCTTGGATCCAATTCATAAGCATCTACTGCAACTTGTTAAAGTGAGAATGCAGGATTCCCAACATGATGTGTCAGAGTCCCAGGACTCTTGAGAATTAGAGACTTGTAGAAACTTCAGAGGTTTACTTCATTTACAATTGAAGAGGGAATTGGAAGCTTTTGAAATCTTCTTTAAGAAATCTCAAGTATTCTCACAGAGCTTCCAACTTACTAAATATCATATACCTTCCATTGCCCTGCCAGAAGTATACTTGTAGGAATTCATTCTAGGGACATCACCTTTCTGTGTCATTGGATATGTCTGACATAGCCCATAGGAAAGAAGTGCACAGCACTCTTCCCCATGTTGCATACCCTGAGCTAAAGGCCACAGAGAGCCTGTTGTAATACCCCACAAGATTAAGAAGCAGACAGACATTCTTCTAACTCTACAAAAGACATGTGGTGTCCTAGTAGATGGGGAACCATATTATTAGAGAGAGTCTTCAGGAATGCTGTTTATTTATTCTGTCACCCAAAATGTTCTTCTATCAATATTTATGATTCAGCCTCAATAGAGATTTCTTTTTGCCATGACTATTGACAACACATAAAGAATGCTGGAAGAGGTGAATCCATGGGAGGCACAGCATTAGAGCACAAGGGAAATGAAGGAAATAGAAAGATAGTGCATTGGTTCTCAAGTCTGGGAATCCTGATGATGACTTTGAAGGCAACTAGCATGGAGTGTTGCACTCTACTCTGAAGTCTGAATCAAAAAGCTTGGATGGAGGTGGATAACATACACCTTGTGGATAATGTAAAACATGGCATCTGGATTCTAACTCCATGGACAGATTTATTGCAGGAGCAGTGCTCTTTGCTGATTGCTGGGAGCCGAAGAGGCTAACTACAAAAATCTGTACATCTGGGAAGAGTCTGGAGTGAAGGCAGCAAGGGTGACTTCATTTCATCACCTTGGCTGACATGGGTGCTTTCTCATTTCACTTCCAGTTTCTTTGCTGGCACTGGACTATTTGGGAGATGAAGGAGCTGATGACCCCCCCCCCAGGGGGGGGTTCTGAGAGTCAGAGAAGGGGACCCAATGAAACATGCATAAATGAAAGGAAACTTGAGTGCTACAGGGCTGATGGGGAATCTGAGTGATTGGTTTTGTTTGGGATTTTATTTTAATGAAAACAGGTGTAATGCTGTTAAAAGGCTACCGATCCTAACTATTTACTTTGATATCTAAATGTTTTATAGGGTGGGTTAAAATAGGATTCATCAGTACTTTAATATAACACTATGAAAGGTTATTCAATTTAAATAGGATTTTTTACTCATCTTAAAATATAAATAGGAGATTTTAGTTGCTTAGATAAGGTGACTAGGTAAATATTAAAAACATTTAAATGTGAATTCTTGTAAATTCCAACCTTTGTTTCTGAGAAGATATCTGGTAGGGATGCAGTAGGAGGAGGAGTTAACCTTCTGTTAGGAAAATTTTAAGAGAGGCATGGTGGTGTCCTTCTAATTTAGAAGGGCAATTATAAAATAATATCCTAGATCAAGCCACCTAAAAATGACTTCCAACAGGTTGAGCTTTGGATATGTTCAGGAAGCTTGTCAAAATTTTAGCTAGTCTTTCATGGCAAGAAGAATGTGTGTATTGTTTGGTGGGGGAGTTTTCCCAAATAATTATGGAAACCAGACTCTTTAGAGAGGGTTCATTCATACTCTAACATCTGTACCCTCCCCTCACTGAGACCTCAGCCCCTTTTCTGTTTAAGCTCATGATGACAGCAAACTGCCTCCTTTCACCCTGACCTTATGATCAGCTTCACTTCACTGCTATTCAACACAAGTACAGGACCAGCCAACAGGAAGCAGCAGGAATGAGAAACTTCACCAACATTAGATGTTGCCAATGTCAATTCCAACAGTTTTTTTTTTAAATCTCTATTTGATTATAGTCCAGCCACCTCCAAAAAATATTAATTTGCTTCTATTTTGAAATGTGAAAGGTATTGAAAAATAAGAAAGACTAGTCAGGCTTAGTGGTACATGCCTTTCATAGTAGTACTCAAGAGGCAGAGGTGGGTGGAGCTCTGTGAATTAAAGGCAAGCCTGATCTACAAAGGTTGTTATAGGTAAGCCAGGGCTATATAGCAAGACTCAGTCTCAAAATAAATAAATAAATAAATAAATAAATAAATAAATGATACTAACACCTTAACAGAGAAGGTAGATGACTAAGACACATGTATACATAAACTTACACACACACACACACACACACACACACACACACACACACACACTGTCTGCATCCGTGAGGAGGCTCAGCATGTACTTTTAAATGGATGTAAGGATGTAAGGGTGTGTATAGTATCTCTTTTCTAGATGGTTTTCTAGATGCACTTGGATCGGGGTGGACACTTGGAATCAACTATTCCTGAATGTGTTAGGATGGCCTTTGTTTCTGCTGTGAAGTGAAGCAGGGTATCTCAGTTACCATTCTCACCACTTATGGGAAGAAGATGCAGCTCACCACTGCATTCAGGTTGGGTTGGGCGTTCGCAGCAGTGATAACCTGCAAGTTCCAGCTCTGAGAGTCAATGCCCAGCTGCTCCCTATGACCCGACTTGAATCAAGAGAGCAAGCCTATCCCAGACCCCAGACCCCAGACCAAATCCCACACACTCATGCATGCACCTGTGACCATGCCCAAATGGGCGTGGTCAGCGTCACAGGTGTGTCTGGTAGATCTCTCATTACAACTATCCTATCTCCATCCCGTGACCCACCTCTGCTAGCCAAGTTCCAGCACCTCCCAGAACAGCACCATAAGCTGTACACCAATTGTTCAAATCCCATTAGAAACATTTCATGTTCAAACCATAATGTGCTCTTCTTCCCTAAAAACGAGTATCAAGGCTGGAGCAAAGATACGTAGGGTTGGCAGGCAGAGAGTATAAACAGAAGGAGAAATGAGGATGAGGGGAGTATGTCAGGTGCTAGTCACCCAGCCACCCACCCAGCCACAGATTAAATAAGTAGGAAAGTAAGATATACAGAAGTAAGAAAGTTAAAAGCCCAGAGGGAGAAAGTAGAGGGGTTAGTTTAAGTTAAGAAAAGCTGGCTAGTCAGGGAAATACAAATCAAAACAACTCTAAGATACTATCTTACTCCTGTCAGAATGGCTAAAATAAAAAAACACCAATGACAGTTTGTGCTGGATAGGATGTGGAGAAAGGGAAAACTCCTCCACTGCTGGTGGGAGGGCCAACTCATACAGCCACTTTGGAAATCAGTATGGTGATTCCTCAGAAAAATGGGAATCAGTCTACCACAAGATCCAGCAATTCCACTCTTAGGCATATACCCAAAAGAAGCACATTCATACATCAAGGACATCTGTTCAACTATGTTCATAGCAGCATTATTTGTAATAGCCAGAACCTGGAAGCAACCTAGATGCCCCTCAACTGAAGAATGGATAGAGAAAATGTGGTACATTTATACAATGGAGTACTACTCAGTGGAAAAAAAAAAACCCAAAACACAATGGAATCTGGAAATTTACAGGCAAATGGATGGAAGTAGAAGAAACCATTCTGAGACAGGTAACCCAGTCACAAAAAGACAAACAGGGTATGCACTCACTCATATATGGATTTTAGACACAGAGCCAAGAATTACCAGCCCACAATCCACACTGCCAGAGAAGCTAGGAACAAGGAGGACTCTAAGAGAGACATACATGGTCCTCTGGAGAAGGGGAAAGGGACAAGATCTCCTGAGCAAATTGGGAGCTGGGGGGAGGGGAGAGGAAGTTAGGAGAATGAGAAGGGGAGAAGAGGAGGGGTGGGGAGGACATGAGGGAGCAGGAAGTGTGAGTTGGGGGAAGAATAGAGGAGAGCAAGATAAGAGATATCATAACAGAGGGAGCCATTATAGGTTTAAAGAGAAATCAGGTGCTAGGGAAATGTCTGTAGAGCTACAACGATGACACCAACTAACAATCTATGGAACAGAGGAGAGGCTGCCTTAAATGCCCTCCTCTGATAATGAGATTGATGACTGACATATATGCCATTCTATAGGCTTCACCCAGCTGGTGGAAGTGGAAGAAGACACCCACAGCTAAACACTGAACTGAACTGGACTCCAGTTGCAGAGAAGGGGAGTGATGTGCAAACGGGTCAAGACCAGGCTGGTGAAACCCACAGAAACAGCTGACCTAATTGAGGGGAATTCTTGGTTCCCAGACTGATAGCTTGGAAACCAGCATGGGACTGATCTAGACCCCATGAACATGGGTGTCAGTGAAGAGACCTCAGAAATCTATGGGGCCTCTTGTAGTAGATCAGTACTTATCCCTAGCATAGGAATAGACTTTGGGAGC